CTACTCTTGCTTTGCTGCTTCTATTGTTTGCTAGTAACAAACTTACCCAGATACAAAATGAGAAAGTAGAATGGACTACCTGAGCTATTTTCAATTTTCCTTCATCTAAGAGTAGAAGAAAGCCTTTGAGAATCTAGATTTTCTGATTCCCGCACAATTACCTCTCCGCTGACCCATCACAAATAAAGCTGTATTTCTTAAAACTTCCATAAACCACATTTGAATTATAGTCATATCAAGGTCAATTTGGAACAACTCTAATGATGTCTACAGAATTTCTTTCATTTTACTTCTAGCTAACTAACTGTTTCATGCCAAGGTGCTTTCCTTGGATATGGATTTCTCTCAGTTTCTCTATTTTCAGTTCCAGCTTTGTCCAAAGGAACTGCTGCAGTTTACTAGCTGTAAAATGGGTTCTGTGGCCCACTTTTGCTTTGTTGTATATAATACAGCAAGAAAAATGGAGAACAAACAATGAAAAATACAAGTTCACAACCAGTTCAGAGGGAGCTCCATGGCCAGCTGGGCAACCTGTGGCTGGAAGAGGTAGCACGCTCATGCTTGCCTACAAATGCTTTGAATAAGCACGTTGAGAAGCAATATTTTGTGCTTTCTAATGATACTGTTACTAAAACCAGAACTGAAATTTCAGATTTCCCCCCCTCATGGCTCTTTGCCCCATCCATATGCCATTTTTCTAATGGGAAACTGTGGGCAGAGCAGGTGATGTGGCAACAAGTGCAGGCATAAATCCCATTCAGACAGGCACACTGCCACTGCATAGACTCCAAGCTGGAGTCTACTACTGGTTCCACTAAAATAAATGGAACGAGGAGATTGGGAAGACCCCAAAACCCAGGTGGGCTGCTCAGCATTTCACAGATTTGAAAAATCAATCTCATAAGTGCAATAGGGTGACATCTTGTATAAAAGAATCCCCATGCCTGGAAATTTCCTATTTTAAAAATATTTACTGCCTTCTAGATATCTTTTATTTTTTAATATTTATAAAATAAACAGTCCTTAAAAGTTGCAATCCTTCTACCATTCACTCAAATAATATATGCAGATGCTATTTTTGAGTAATTACATTTCAAAAGAGCACAGCTCTTTCAGCATATCAAATTGCTACTGACATATGCCATCCGTCTTAAATACTGTTTTCAGCATTCTAATTTCTTTCTCTAATCATCAGTCCGTGATGACAAATTAAAACAATATTTTGTGTGCAATTCATATTTTACTGAAATTCAAAATGGCAAGGAAAGGATGAGCATTCAATTTATTTTCTCTTCTCAATTAATACAGCAATTAAGATAAGGGATATAAAACTGGCTTAATTGGGTTGCCATGGCAACTAATTGCCTGATTTCTTCAAAAATAGCATGTTTTAGGTGGAATCAATCTGTGGTAATTTAATTATGTACATCATGAAGCAAGAAGACAGGTTAGATACATGTAAGGAGAAATTCTAATTGCAAGTTGCTACATATCTCTTTGTTACTCCATTTTTTTCTAGCTGTTGTCTGCTGCTGTTCATTACATATCGTGCAGAATGATAATTCTGCTTTTTAATGATGAGGAGCACTGAGATTTGTGCAATGAATGAGATTTGGAATTGCTTGGGTTTTATTTCAGTTGGACCCTGGAAATGAGGAAGAAATTCGAGCATCCTCACTCCTTGCTCCTTTTTGCATATGTTACTCTCAGAATACATGGGGGGAAAAAAAAAGAAGAAAACAAAATTTTATGCACAGTTTTTAGCATGCAAATGTACAGGTATTGTTTTTCATGGTAGTAATCCCAAATCCTTCACTTTATTAGGATTATTGGATAACTACTGAAGAACATTGCACTACAGTGATACAGCAGGTCCCATGGAAAGACTGTGCCAAGCAGATTTCTCAAACTCAAATAATTTCTTAACTCTATTTAATGTGCATGTGTTTTACAGGTATAGTCCTAGTAATAGCATTTTATGATTGTGGTATTGCACTGTTTCACATGATTAGAATGCTAAATTCAAGAAATAAAACCATCACCGTTGTTGACACGTGAACAAAGCCTCTGATGTTCTCCAAGTTTGCATAAAACTGACTTTGGCCCATTGGGAGCTCATCTTCAGATTAAACCCAGTTCATGACACTTCAATATGTTAACTCTGCTCCATGATATTTCTTGCCACTATTTAATTTCTTCTTTAATAAACCAGAAACTATGTCCACACATGCCTTTAATAAAAAGAGTTTTCAAATTCTAAAGATACTACCTTGACCTTTACTGGAATCAAAAGTACAAGCAAATTAGGATATACATTCCAGAAAGTCCCTTTAAAACTGAAATTTCCCCCAATAAAAGGTCAGCCTTTATTATCTACAAAATTAATAGTGTGTCCATCAAATTTGCTCTTACACATCGTTTCAGTTATGTTTGGAAGGTACATGAACTATTTAGAGCAGAAATAACATAATCCACAGATAACTACATTTCTCTGCAATTAATTTGATAATGCTGAAAATAGGTACCATAAAGTTCAAAGGGAATATCATAAACAACTAAATTATTTCCTGCCAAGGAATGCTTACATTTTCTATGGTCCATTCACAGTTACTATCTTACTGGTAAGAATATTTTTGTGATTTACTGAAAAAAGGATAGAGACGTCGTGGCCCACAGATTTAAATATAGAGCCACCAACCATGAAGCTCCTGATTTAGCTGCTTCTTGAGACCATCAACGTTTTGTAAAAGAAACCATCCAGGTGCCAGCGTGGAGCTCCAGCAGGACGGAGCTGCCACGGGGACCTCTGCACAGCGCTGCACCGTGCCCTGGAAATTGCCCCAAATATTCCTTATTTCCCTGGTTAGAAAAGCAAAGGCCTGAGCAGCCCAGACTTTGCCAGTGCAGGTGCCAGGGCAGCTCAGATTCAGCTATGAGAGATAATTGGGCTGTGTCAGATACGGAGGGAGGCAAAAAAGACCATAATGTGCTGTAAATAAAGAGCTTGCATTAGAGAAAAGCAAAATCTGCATTTAATGAAAAACAAATATACGTTTCGCTCTCATTTCGTTGCCAGCAGCCATACGCAATGGTGAAAGAAATGGTTCACGCTAAATGCTTCTGAAAAAACAGTCTCTGATTTATTGTGTTTTTTTTTTCCTTCTGTTCTCCTCTCCTTGCCCCAAGTCTATTAGTCCAAGTAAATGACTTGCTCTATTAAAAATGCCAGTAAATTTTCAGTTTACCACCTAATCTCATTTGGCAATTCTTAATCCTGCCAAAGGCAACTTTATCACATAAAAATCTCACCTATATTCACTGATGTTAAATAGACTACACTTCGTAACCCGAAGAAAGATGTGGCTTTACTGAGCAGTTTGTGCCCCATGCTGCTTGCAAATGAAAACATGTAGTTATGTTCATGCTCACTTTTCATTTTTAAGCTAACACAGCCTTCTTTTAACATCCTTAAAGAATCCTGCATCCATTTCATATCATTCCACCACAGTTTTTCTTGCCATCTAATGTAATATTCCTTCCCATGGTGGACATTAGGAAGTGTTGGCTGGAAAAAGCAAGTGGGTACCAGTATAAGCACTGACCTGGAAAGCAGCTGGAATCCGAACTTCGAGGAGGCCACAACACCAGGTTATGTCACATCCCACAAACTCCACGTTGCACCTTTATGCAATTAATATCAGCTATTTGAGGCCCACTGTTTAAGGCCATTCCCACCAGTGACTGAGCTACGCAAAGTGAGGTCGTGCAAGGCTCACGATGGATCTTAATTAACCCCTTGGCATCCCACGACTAAATGCACACATGAAGTTTCTGATTACTTCATTCCGAAAAGCCTTCATTTAGGCTGCTTTCTGTAGTTGGGAATATTCAACTTTTTGCTCCTTTTCTCTTTGAAAGCACAGCAGTATATGAGCATGCCTTTAAAACATACTGACTTCTGATAACCGGTCCCTCAGTAATATTATCCTGGCTTTTTATATAGTCACCATACCATTATGTTCCCAGGGGACTCCATTTTGGAATGCATTTAGAAAACCTTTATCCAATAGCAAATAAAAGACAGAAATAAGTTTAGTCCTTCATTTTTCTTTGGGAATTTCCTGATAAAGAATATATATCAATATATAAATAAATCATCATCTGAGTAGAAAAAAAAATCTTTTCTATCTACAGAGATATTTTGGGGGTTTTTTTGATTGTTTTCCTTTAAGGCCTGCAAATGCTTCCTGAATCATGGGTTACCAAAATGTAAAACTATTCTCCGAAAAAGGACCTTTCAGAATTCATCACCAGGACTAAAACAGCTGCAGCTGTGAAGAAGTGTTAGCATATTAGTTGTTATATTACAGGCAATGAAAAAAAAATGCCTTTAGCTCTGGAGATTTGCAGGAATTATCAGGATTTTCTGTTTTTTTTTTTTTTTTCTTTTTTTTTCTCTGCTGCAGAAGACACTCATACTAAATTTTTGCTAGCTAGTTTAATTCAGATTATGTTTGACAGCAGGAACTTTAATCCACATAATATGTAAAAAAAAAAAGTTTCATTTTAGCAATTGTCTATGTTTTTCTTGTCACTGTCACTGAATGTTGAATAAGACGCAATTCAGCATATCAGGATGTTCTGTTATTGCTATTTAGGTGCCTTAGGCTTAAGAACTGCTCAAATATTATGAGGAAATTAACTCTGAGAAAGATGAGTTATTATCTCACACGAATGCTCATATACTGCTTATATCTCAGATCTCAGTGCAGGTATGAATATGCATGACTTCACCTTAAACCAAAGCTGCTCTTAGTTTAAGTTTATTCCTATATTTTCGGATAGTCACAAGTCTTTATAATATCTTTGGGTGGCTGCTTCACAAAACACTGAAGCGTAACCTTGGCTTGGCACTTGTTGGAATGAATGGTAACCTTCAAGCAGACAAAAAACAATACATATTTTCAGTGTAATGAATGTGGTCAATAAGAGCTACTCACCACTGTCTATGGCCAGAAACTGAGCAGTGTAAATGTTGTTGTGCACGTAAGGAGACTCCCGATCCAGCACGGCGGTGGTGCCAATGGTACCGTTGGTTGGGTTGATTTCTAGCCAGCCTGCAGGATCCTTGAAAACTGAATACCTAAATTAGAAGACAAAAGCCATCAGGAGATTGCACTTCTGGACATGTCATGATTGCATTACTATGGGAGCATACGTCTTGATCTTCAGTTTTCCGTGTTCCCCTAGGGGAAGTGACACTATGCTACAGAAGACAAACACAGCTAATTTCAGAGGTGAAAAGAGTCAAAACTGGCCAACCGGCTGCTATGCTTGACCTGGAGCCTGCTCCAGGCTTGCCAAGGGCCATCTCTCCTGGCTGCCGGACCATGTCGACTGCGCCACAGGAATACACAGGTGTTTGGAGAGCCAACGTTGGGGTGACAAGTCAACAAACCCATCCATAAAAAGTTCTAGTTACTTGCTAGTCATTCTTGTGCTGAAATATATTAGAGGACAGACTTGCAAAGAGACCCTTTGGGAGCTTACAGGAAAAAAAAGAAAAATACTAAAAACATATGGCTTGTTTATGGCTCCCCAAAAATCATTCAGCACTTCCGCAAGGGGCAGAAATTATCCTTTTGGGAATATGCAAAACAGAGGGACAGGTGAGCACTAATGCACAATGACTGATACATTGCCTCAACCCAGAAGGTAGTTCCACTTCAAAACCATTCAAATATTGATCAATATATGAGCTTTATCTCCCCTAAAAACGAGTGCTAGAATAGTAACAATGCAGATCATTATTTCATTTCACTTCTTTGTTTCTTTTTTATTGTTGTTTTTATAACTTTGCAACAAAGGTATGCACAAAAAATATGAAACAAGGGCAGCCTAAACAATTCCTAGTCTATTGTAAGACAGCAAATTCTCAATTAACCCCAAAACAATTTAAGAAGATTCAACACTTTTAAAGTAATGAGAATTTAAAATGAATTGTATTATCTTCCCTGATTGCTCTACAAAGCACTGTTGGCTGTGCAAATAAAAAACTGAATTGTATAACCTGTGATTTGGCACAGGATATTGTAAAAGCAGTACTTTGTCTTTCTCACCACATTTTTTATATATTGTAAGAGTATATTGCAGTACAGTTAAAATGATTGTTCTTTGTTCCCTTTTTTTGAGGGTTCTGCTAGCAAAAGGTTTAGAATAGATTCATTAAGAAAAGTGCTATGAAAAAAGTCACACTGGTACAGAATACAAAGCTTTGCTTTCCATTTTTTGACTTTAGTGGGATCTGCTGATGGCGCAGGTGTTTTGAAAATCAGACCACTTATTTAGGTGGCTAAACACGAATTTAGGTGCCTGTATATATTCATTCTGTTGTAGGTGCATTAACACATCTGCTGCAAAACATAAGTATACACCTTAAAAAATACATCTAAAAAAAGAATGAAGCAAAACAGAATGCAAAATAAAATCTGAATTGGATCTATTTGATGGAGAACTAACATTAAATAATAAATATTTAGAAATTTTTAAGTGGCATCCTTGTCTTCCTGCAAGGCAGGAAACTAATTCCAAGAGCGGCTCCTGGGGCTGGCTAGTGGACAGGGATGGTGCTTGTGGCTGGCAGCCTGATTAGCACCAAAGGTCATTGCACAGGACTTGTATCATGGACACGGGAGCGTGACCAGTGTCACTGCTTTGTACTGGCCCCGGAAAGGATTTCGGGGCCAACAGTGGGCTAGCCAAAAGGTCACAGGAGAGCAGCCAGGCAACCAGGCACAGGTTCAGGTGCTGCTCTTGGCTGGGGCTTCCCAAGCTTGGTAGCTGCCAAACATCTCCCATGTGGGGTCAAGGGGGCTTGGCTCTCACGCTTGGACAGAGAGAGAAGGAAAGCAAAGTGAAGCGTTTTGAGCATACTGAGTGCCACTGCCACAGGCAAAAGCAGTGCCAAATCTCTGCTGCATGACGTGTCTGTGCCAATTGGATGCGCAGTCCCTTTCCGTGGCCCTGCCAGGAGTTAAGGTGACTGGCCTAGATAGGCTTGTTGGGACATCACCTTGGTAGCCTCGCACACCTAGAAACAGTTCAAGTTGGATTGCACAAAAACAACATGACCAAGGAGACACAATTGCTTTGAAAGCAAAAAAAAGGGGCAGGAGCAGGAATACCCTGCTGGTTCTGCAGCACACTAAGTCACCAGGGGGTGACCAATGTTACTTATCACACTAAGTACCAGGGGGCAAGAGACCGGAGCCAGTGAGGTGGCTCTGGGGTGCAAGAGGGAAGGGATGGTCCATCTCAATTAGGACTTGGAGAACTGGCCTTGGTGTCCTGGCTCTGTGCCCCCAGTTCACAGCTTCAGAATGGTAAGGATGCCTCTTTACCTTGAGAAATTGTTAGCAAGATAAAAGCTATCAGCAGTTCCATGGGGCTTGGAATGTATAGCAAGGAGGGCTGTCACAAGTACCCCCCTGGATAGAAAGGAAAAGAATAACTCGAATAGCTGTTTAAGGATGTAGACTTAGGGGGATTTTCAGATTCTATAGCTGCTTAAATCCTTAATATTTTAAAAATGTTAAACCCAGATGACTCAAAATTTTGTATGTCCTGTATACACACATGTGCATGTGCATATATGTTTACTGGTGCTGGATGAAACTAGAAACATCAAAATATTGACAGTAACTATTTTCATAATATTTCAGTCTGTTCAATCTGGCTGTCGGGAGTTAGTATCAGAAACATACAAAAAGCTTATTTGTACATTAGATTTCCAAATGCGTGCATCAGATTTCCAAATCACATTTGCACCTTTTATGCATGCTGGTCACACTGACATCAGTGAAAAGGCCCACTATTTCATCTTAAAAATATAGAGGTACATTTGTATTTTGAATGAAGACTTTCACATTTTGGCTCATTATCCACATTTCTGAATCCTCAGCAGTTCACCTACATACAATTAGGTAACATATTGAAGTTACCATATCTGTCTTGCTCCTGCTGGGACTATATTATATAATGGCAGTCTCTGATTTTTTTCTATGAGCTTTTCATGAACTATTCAAGTAAAACGATCAGTGGGGAAGGTAACTTCATATTTTCCACGCTTAAGAGCTCAGCATGAGCAATCCCCTTTGTCTCTGAAAGAAGAATTCTCTAAACACAGACATTATGCAACCTTTAAGTCAAGCCAACGTGAGTTTAATCTCATTACATTAAGTCCATCTGAAAAATCAAGAGCGACTACCCTTGAAAAAACATTCACAGGTATTTAGGAGAGACCAGTGTAGCAATTAGAGCATAAATACAGGCACCTACATAAATAATGGTTGTTTTCAAACAAAGACTATGTACTTCCCAAAATGCAAGTATTACAGTAAATATGTAGTTTAAGAGTGCTTTGTATTTCAGATGTTGTATATAGAGACTGCGTAACGCAGAGCTTTTAAGGCCGAGCTGCAGCTCATCGTGTTCCATCTTTTCCTCTGTGCTATCATTACTTTTTGCCTGCACTAATTACGGGAGCATATGGTATGAGAGGCAGTAGAAGAAGTCTTGTCGCTGTGCAGCAATTCCGCAGCTGAAACGTGCTCAGGACTCATTCATGATGACACATCACGATTTTTCTGCTGGCTACACCAAAGCGAAGGCACTCTTGCTGCCGGCTGCTCGGGGAGAGCAACTTGCAGCTCGTACGTGCACACTCCCTGCCTTGCACACCAGGGTCTCAGCTTGTTCACCTCTTCTTTACAACCTCAACAGTAGTAATGCTCTAGCATAAGCATTACGCTAACATTGCATTTTATAAGGATAATTTTTCATGCAACCCCCCGGTTTGTTTCCTTTGACTTCTATGTCAGTAAAACCATGGGAAGAATGTCCTTGCAGTAGTTGTGGCTTTTCTTCTCCCTCCCCATACACCCAAACAAATGTGAATCAAGTACACAGATTTCAAGGTGCAAGTGAATATATAGGTTTGCTCTCCATTTTATACCCAGATATAAAGCCTTAATTTCCCTTAATTTTTCCGCTGTAGACCCAAATACCACCATATAGGTTCCCCAGGAGATGACTCTTGGCGCTGGTGTTTAGTGTGACCACTCTGCAACAGCAGAGAGAAGGCATTATTAGGAATAACTTATTTCACCATTTCAATTCAACTTCTCACGCTTGCTGAAAGTATACTACCAGTAAGCAGTTCTGGGCAAAATCAGTTATTCAAAAGGGCTTTTCATACTTCGTTTCAACACTACTTCCCAGTGCACTTTCCCGTTTGGATGCCAAAAGGTCCTATAACCTCTACGGATATTAAAAAAGACCCACGTCTGTCTTTCGTTCTTTCTTTCTGCCTTTTGGAGAGCTCTCTCCTTTCTACCGAGATCCCTACCGCAGGATGTTTTTATATTCTTTTGTATGCATTGACCTCGGAGAGCGGGAGTTCGCTATTCAAGCCGGAGAGGCCGGGACGCGAGCGCCGTGGGGCTTCCTCTCTCGCTCAACAGCCACACAAAGCACCGGTGCCAACCAGGGCGCTCCAGCGCGCTCTGCATCCCTCTGCCCCAGCCGTTTGATGCCTTCTTCTGTGCACCCTTTGAGATGAGCACATGCCGTGCCGCACCACGGTGTTGTCCAGATTGGATAACTACAATGGGCATGCCAGGTTTATACTGAACATTCATGTTACACACGTGGCATTGGGGCCATGCGTTCAGCAAGGGCCAGTCTCCTCTACCCATGGACTCATGGACATCTTGACTGCTCGGTGCACAAGACTCAGCCACTACACAACCTACACATACCTACAGTCTTGGAAGACCCAAAACTTGGCAGCTTTGGGGAAATGGTACCTAAATATCTACAGCTGAGTAAACGTAGAAGACAGTTGACTAAAGGCAATAGGTGATCAGCCGCAAAGGAGGTCCATAAAAAAGGACATAGCACCATGTGTAGTCATACCCAGATCAATTACTTCTTTAACCGTAGCATTTTCCTTTTCACCTATGTAATATCAACCAACAGAAAAATAATCCCGCTCCAAGCTCTTAGCTGGCAGTTCTAGACTGTTCGTAGCAGCAGTTAATTTAAAACTAGCTCAAATAGTTGTCCATCATTATGCAGACAGTA